CTCTCCAAGGACTGGTCCCTCCTTACAACATGTCCAAAGTATGTCAGACGAAGCCTCAGAATCCTTGCCTCCAAGAAGCAGCCTGGTTTCACCTTCTCTAGGAAGAACCTGTTTTATAAAAAGAAAAACAAACCAAAGTGTGAATAAATGAAGACATTGTGTGTGAAGGGATGGGGGGTGATTTCCAGTGCGTTCTTGTTGTTGTTACGTGCCATCAAGCTGAGTACAACTCACAGTGACCCGGTGAGCAGCAAATCTGGACGCTGTCCTAGCCTGTGCCACGCTCACCCTCTCCGACACACTTGTGTCCAGTGCTGCAATCACTGTATGAATCCGTCTTGTTGGGGGTCTCCCTCTCTTTTGCCCACCCACCTCCTTTCCAAGCATGATGTCCCTCCCCAAGAAATAGCCTCTCAGTAACATGCTCAAAGTATGTGAGATGAAGCTGTGTCATCTTTGCCTCCAAGGAACATTCTTGCTGCACTTTCTTCAAGACAGACCTGTTTGTTCTTGTTTGGCCATCCATGTGGTATCCAGCACTCTTCTCCAACACCACAGCTCAAAGGTGGCAATTCTTCTGTCATCCTTATTCATTGTCCAGCCCTCAGATGCACAGCAAGTGACTGAAAAAAATTATGGCCTGAATCAGGCGCACCTTAGTCCTCAAAATGCCTTTATTGCTCTGCAGTGATATGGAGAGGTTCTCAACAGCAGACTTGCCCAACACAACAATACATCTCCTGATCTCCCGGCTGATACCAAGGGTGTTGATTGTGGATCTGAGTAAGATAAAATCGTTGACGACTTCAATCTTTTCTTCATCTATCATGATGCTGTTTATTGGTCCAGTGGTGAGGGGGTTTGTCTTCTTGATGTTGAGATTGAATCCATGTTGAATTAATTGACCTTCTGTAGCAAGTATTTCAAGTCCTTCTCACATTCAGCAGGCAGAGTTGTATCATCTGCATAACAGGCTGTTGATGACTCTCCAATCCTGACCTCACATTTTCCATCATAGAGTCCAGCTTCTTGAATGATTTGCTTAGCGTACATATTGAATAGGCATGAAGAAAGGATACAGCCCTGATGCACTTTCTTCCTGATTTTAAACATGTAATGCTCCCTTGCTCGGTTCAGACAACAGCTTCCTGGTCTGTGTATAGGTTTTGTACGGGCATAACTAAGAATTCTGGGGTTCCCATTCTTCTCAACGTAAACCATAATTCATTATGATCCACACAGCCAAATGCCTGTGCATAGTCAATAAAACACAGACAGACCTCCTTCTGGTACTCTCTGCTTTCAGCCAGTGCGTAGTATAGGATTAAAGCGCTCTGGAGGGGAAGCCGTGAAGGGCCTGGCCGCTCACCAGCCCCACCGTGGATGGCCACCTGCTGCTGCGGAGACGGAGCCTTGGGAAGTCTGTGGGGCAGTGCTGTTACCCTACAGGGATGCTATGAATCAGAGTCAGTTCAATGGTAGGACGTTTTGACTTGTTAGCTTAAATAAAAAAGCAAGGTGTAAGTTCTGAGCTATTTTTACTTAAGAAAACACAGAAAGCACAGCGCGGCGGGAGGGAGGTTTCTCAGAATGCTTCTGATTTGGAACCATTAAGTGTTCAGAACAATAGGGGCTTTGTTGTTCGCTGTTCTGTGGGTTTGTTTTTTTTTTAAACCTGAGCTTGATTTCCAGGCGCACATGAACAACGAGATGTCACAATGTTGTAGTCATCACCTTGGGGATACTTTAAAAAAAGAAAAATTGCAATTGCAATGATGTGCAATCAACCATTTTCAAGTGCTTCTGGGAGCATGATGTGTTTTGTTGGCATTGTGCAAACCCCCACCTCTCCACTTTTGAACAATTCCTCCCTCTTCAAAGAAACCCCCCATAGTAGCCTCTGGTTCATCGCTCACTCCAATCCCCGTGCCAGCAGTCTGCACGCCGTCCCCACGGATGAGGCGGCACTTTGTGTTCACTTAGCACGATGTTTTCAGGGTTTCTCTGTATCAGGATCTTGCTTCTGCACGGCTTGGAGCCAGACGTGGCCTTTCTTCGGGGACTGTGGGGTCACTGGCTCCTTCTGCTCTGTGGACCCTGATTTGAGGACATGGTCTGAGAACAGACAGGAGAATCGAGAAGACGTGGACAAACCCATGTGGAAACATTGGGACCAAAGACCTCGGCAGTGACAGCACGTGGAGGAGGGAAGGGGCCTGGGATCACCCCTCATGCTTCACCTGCTTCCTGGGTGGCTTTGGCTGGCGTGTCACCCTCGGTCCTCAGCTGCCTCCTGTCAGATTGTTGGGTGCTGCCAAGTCATCCCTGTTCACAGTGACACCATGGACGTGCCGCTCATTTTCAAGGCGGTGCACTTTTGCAAGCAGACCCTCAGGCCTTTCTTTGAGGCTTCTCTGGGTGGGTTTGAACTGCCAACCTTTTGCCTAGTAGTCATGTGCTTAACCATCTCTGTCTCTCCAGGTAAACACCTTGCTGGGTGGTTGTGGGGATTAGAGGAGGCTCTTCCCTAGGACCGCTGAGTTGTGTTGTTGGTGGTGAGTACTGGACGCCCTGTGGGCGGCCTAAAGAACTAACAAGTCTGTCCTGGGAGGACAACTCGAGTGCTCCCCAGAGCAGGGAGGGCGGGGGTTGGTCTTAATACTTGAGGTATGTTATCAGAAGGGGCTCCCCCCTGGAGAAGGACACGCGTGGAAAAATAGAGGGTCCGCGACAGAGAGGAAGACCCCCAGTGTTATCAGAAGGGGCTCCCCCCTGGAGAAGGATACATGTGGAAAATAGAGGGCCCTCAAAATAGAGGAAGACCCCCAGTGAGCTGAATGGACAGTGAGTGCAGCGAGGGGCTGATGCACAGTACAGACCATGAGGACCTGGCAGGATTTTGTCCGTAATTCAAGGGGCTCCTGTGACGCGAGGACCCCCACAATATACCTACGACCAGACGCTCTGAACACCCGTACTGCGTGGAACTGAGAGGGGCTTCCCCAAACTTGAGGGGCAGCAGGGAGGTGAACAGCTGGAGCCCCCCAGTAGGTGACAGATTAGAGCTGGACCCTGGGGCTTAACCCCACTCTCTCCTCAGCCCCAGGCCTGAGTCCAGCAGCAGTAATCCCTCCTGCCCGGGGGCTAATGCTGACGTGCCAGCCTGGGCAGCGGGCTGGAGCTGCCAGGCTGTGTTGGCTCCATCCTGCTGGGAGAAGGCGGAGGTGGGGCAGGGGATTAGAGACTGCGGGGTACAACATCACATGCTGCCCGTGACCTCACTCGCTGTGCCCAGGCCTCCAGGTGCTCCTAGTTCCTGCACCTGCGGTTGGACTCCAGGCTGATTTGAGCCCCTACCTCAGCCTCGGTGAGTGGGACCCCCACCTCAGCCCCAGTGAGTGATGCCCCCACCTCAGCCCCGGTGAGTGATGCCCCCACCTCAGCCCTGGTGAGTGACACCCCAATCTTAGCCCCAGTGAATGCACCCCCACCTCAGCCCTGGTGAGTGGGTCCCCTCAGCCCCAGTGAATGGGGCTCCCCTTCAGGCCCAGTGAGTGATGCCCCCAACTCATTGCCAGTCAGCAGGAACCCCCCCAGCCCTGGTGATGGGACCCCATCTCAGTCCCAGTGAGCGTGTCCCCCTCAGCCCTGGTGCCGGGACCCCATCTCGGTCCTGGTGAGCAATTCCTCTACACCATGGCTCCCAAACCCAAGCACACCGCCAGTAATAGGCCAAGCCATAGAAATTCTCCTCAAGCTCCTGAGCTTATGATTTTTTACGGGGAGGCTCCCATCTGTCTCCTGGAGAGCAGACGGTGGATTTGAACCACTTACTTTTCTGTTAGCAGCCTGGTACATAATGCACTGTGCCACTTGGACTTCTTCTGAAGTCGCCCTACTTGCAGCTTCTAGTCAAGGGGAAAGAGGAGATGGGGGCAGGGTGGGTGTGGACTAGCTCTGGGAGGTGACAAGTGACAGTGCAGGACTTCTGACATGCAGGGGTCACAGGAGACAAAGATGTACCCCCAGGGATGTCGGGGAGCCAGGTGAGACAGGAGGTGCCATGTACACCCCTACACTTGCTCCTCCACTGCTCCCAGCTCTGAACCTCCAGCCCCTCACTCCCAGCAACCCCAGCTCCTTGTAGCTGCCCCGGCCCTGTGTGCTCAGCCCAGGCAGAGGCCCAGCTCCTCACGGCTGCCCCGGCCCTCCGTGCTCAGCCTGGGTAGAGGAGGTCTGGGTGGATGTGGAGGTGTCTGGGGCTCACCGAGATGAAGGGGCTTTCTCCAGGGCCACAGACTGAGGCTTCCTGAAGGCATCCAGCCACATCAGCTGGAACCCAAAGGACCTCGGAGTCTCCTGGGGCAGGTAAGCAACTGTGGATGACTCCCAGGGGAGTATGGAGGACAGGGTCCCAGCCCCCACTCATGCTAGTCCGTGAGGCCCATCCCCCTCCATTCCTGCGATCCATCGAGTCCTGTCCACCTTTACCCCTCTGAGAGCTCAGATGTGCTCAGAGGTCTTTGAACTTGTACGTGTGAGGGCTGTTCCATGGCCCTTTCTTGCTGGGAGGGAGAGAACACAGCGTTGCTGCCCCAGAAACTGCCAAGGACTGGCACCGGGGAAGGGCCTCGCTCCGATGAGGTGTGAGTCCTACCCCAGCTCCAGGACCAAAAGAGGAGAGCCCTGCCGCACCCTCATTCTTCTCCTGTAGGTGTGGGACCCTCACCTTCAAAGCAGGGGCACCCCAGGGAGATGCTGGCAGCCAGGAAATCCACACACAGACTCCACCCCCTAAAGCCTGCCACCCTGTATATGCCTGCTGGGGTTCCCAACTCCCCGAGCCGCCAGCGTCGCCACACACTCCCCGCCAGCGAGTTCCGCTGCCTCACTCCTGAAGATGCCACCAGCGTGTTTGAGATCGAGCGGGAAGGTGGGTGACCCCACACAGGCTCCAGGCCTCTGGTCAGCTCTGGCCTAGTGTTCCTGTGGAGAGAACACCCTCCTTCCACCTCCTCCAGGCTCCGCTGTCTGTGGGCTGGGTCTTTGGAGCACCGGACTGTAGGTGCCACACCCATGTACACGTTCGCTGTGGTGTGTGCATGTGTGTGTGTGCTGTGAGCAGACGCCACGTCTGCATATACTTGTCTGTAGGTGTGGTGCGTGCATGTATGTTGTGGTGCGTGCATGTATGTGGTGGTTCTGAGCATCCATATGAACACATATGTATATACGGTGACTCATACATACATGCATATTCATGAGACTATGTGTATGCATAATATGTGCATACAGTGTGCACCATATGCATGCATGTCTGTATAGCATGTGCACACACGTGTGCATGTATGTACATATGTATAATGTGTGTGCACACATTGTGCGCCATCTGCGTGCATGTCTGTGCAGTGTGCACCATGTGCATGCATGTCTGTATCGCATGTGCACATACACGCGTGTGCATGTGTGTGTATAATGCATGTGCATACAGTGTGTGTGCACGTTTATACAATGTGTACACAGAGGCACATACAGCACCTGTGTACGTGCATACTCAGGGTGAAGAACACAGCCTGGAGTCTTCCCTTTCCCATGGACGAGAGTTGGGTGGGACCCCTGAAGTGGATACTCAGTGGGTGTGTGCTCGGCTGACGCTCAGTCGGTCACATACCTCCTCTGCCTACGCAGCCTTCGTTTCCGTCTCGGGTACCTGCCCCCTGCCCCTGGACGAGATTCGGCACTTCCTGACGCTGTGTCCGGAGCTGTCCCTGGGCTGGTTCGTGGAGGGCCGTCTGGTGGCCTTCATCATCGGCTCGCTGTGGGACGAGGAGAGACTCACACAGGTGAGATGGGGGCTCTGGAGACGCTGCTGCCCGTGGGTCACAGCGCCTGCTCTGCGTGGGGGCTGGGCTTTCCTTCTCTGGCAGTGTTCCCCTGGGTGACAAGCAGCCCCTCTGGAGTCACAAAGGTCCTCACAGCGGCTCCTGATGGGGCTGGAGCCGGAGGTGGTCCAGCTGGGGGCATGCAGCTGGTCCTCTAGGGCCTGGGTGGGGTGGGAGCGAGTGTCTGTGGGCTGACCCGTCGACTGTCCCCCTTCCCGTGAACCAGGAGTCGCTGACGCTGCACAGGCCCGGGGGACGCATGGCCCACCTGCACGTGCTGGCCGTGCACCGCACCTTCCGGCAGCAGGGCAAGGGCTCCGTCCTGCTGTGGCGGTACCTGCAGCACCTGGGCGGCCTGGCGGCCGTGCGCAACGCCGTGCTCATGTGCGAGGGCCCGCTGGTGCCCTTCTACCAGAAGTTCGGCTTCCGGGCTGTGGGCCCGTGTGCCGTCACCGTGGGCGCCCTGACCTTCACCGAGCTCCAGTGCAGCCTGCGCAGCCTCACCTGTCTGCGCAGGAACAGCGGCTGCTGAGCGCCGCCCACCGCCCACGCCCACCGCTCTGCGCCCTGACCCGCCCAGATCCTTCAAAACACAGAAAGGATAGCATGATGTGGCAGCTCCCCACCAGGCAGGCACCCAGACAGGGGTGACAGGTCCTCTAATCTGTCCACCAGCCCAGGAAGAGGCTGGGTTTGATAAATGGGAGGGAGGGGGAATCTTTGAGTTACTCTCAAGAACATGGACAGGTGAGAAGGCAGGGGCCCAGCACTGGAGCAAGGGCCTACAGGCAGGGACAGGAGGGCAGGAAGGGGCCTTCAGGCAGGCAGGGCCAGGGGCCTTCAGGGAGGGGCAGGAGGGCAGGCAGGGGCCTTCTGGGAAGGGCAGGAGGACAGGCAGGGTCAGGGGCCTTCAGGGAGGGACAGGAGGGCAGGCAGGGGCCTTCAGGCAGGGGCAAGAGGGCAGGCAGGGGCAGGGGCCTTCAGGGAGGGGCAGGAGGGCAGGCAGGGTCAGGGGCCTTCAGGGAGGGGTAGGAGGGGCAAGAGGACAGGCAGGGGCCTACATGGAGAGGCAAGACCCTCTAGGTGTCCAGCACGAAGACAAGGGCCTCCTAGGAGGGGGGCCTGGAACTGGGACCCTTCCTCCTTACCTCCCTGGGCTGGTGACCTGCATGAGAGACGTGTCCAGCTGTCCACCCTCTTAACCCTCGTCCCTCCGCCCACCCTAATAAAGTGATCATGCCCTGAGCCTCCCTGGTGTGAAGGGCTGTTGGGGGCGTGGGGTTGAGCAGCTCAGCCTGGCTTTCTCTCCCACCTATGAATGAACTCAGCAATGCTGCCCCTTCTCCTGGGCACCATTTCATTAGTATGGGTGCCCCTAGTCCAGTCGGCCCCTTCACGGCTCCCAAATCAGGCCCAGGCTCGGGGTGGGGACCCCAGGAGACTAAGGCTTCACTCCAGTCCTCTCAAGAGACCCCTTCAGGCCCTCTGTGTGACATTAGACCTTGACTCTGTTTGTGGGGGTCCCCATCCTTGGCCCCCAAAAGTTCTTATCTCCACTGCACATCAGGTATCGATTCAGAACCCAGCACTCCCTTTCCACCATGAATGTTTAATATCCTGGAGATACATCTGTACAAAGTTAGCATTACTTTTAAAAATCACAAATGTAATATAAACTGGTAAAAAACAGAAACACAGAGCTGACTGAGCCCCGAGCAGGTCATCAGGGTGGCCTGGTCAGTCAGGGTGGCCTGGTCAACCTCCCCACTCGGCAGTGAGTGAGGTAGTAGGTATTGGGGGGGCACCTTCAGCACCAGGTCCCGAGAGGCCGGAACCCTGATGGTGCTGAGACCCCAGACTGGGGTGGGGACGCAGGGTCTCATCCCTCCCAGGGCACCTCCTTCCCCTCCAGGGGTACAGGCCCCCAATTGCTAAAAGTCCGTGGCATCCCACTTCATGTTGTCTGGCATGGGGGTCTGAGTACTGCTCAGAGACAGGACGGGCGCAGGCGGGGGCTCACGGGCTGGCAGGGAGAAGGGGGTGCAGGAAGGGCCCCCCCGTGGGGTGTGGTGGAAACCTGGATGCCCAGGTCGTCCAGTCTGAAGCCACCATGTGGACAGGCACGTTCACAGTAACAGCGAGAGAAAGCACCAGCAGAGGAGAAGCTTCGAGAAGCCAGCAGCTTTAGGACCCTGAACAGCTGCCCCAGGAGGAGGCCTTGAGGTCAGGCAAACGGGGAGGGAGCCCGTGATGCCCCGGCTGTCCCCAGCTTGGGCCCAGGACTTGCGGCCTGAGGAAGGGGGCTTCACCACTCCACGAGGCCCTTGCTGGCCCTCTCCGCACAGTCATGGGCCGCAGGGTCTTTGGGTGGGTGGACACCCCGGAGTTGGTCACCAGCACTCAGAGGACCGTGGCTGGAGCCCGGGTCAGTGCAGCACCTGGTCCAGCTCGTACTTCTCGCAGAAGCGGCTGGTGAAAGGGAAGCAGGTGAGGTACTCGACCCAGGGCCAGTTGATGGGGTAGACGTAGAGCCAGATGACCAGCGAGGCGAAGAGGCCGGCGAAGACCAGCAGCGACACCAGGATGAGCGCGCGCTTGCGGTACTTGTCGCTGGTGCCGAAGGTGATGTAGGGCAGGAAGGCGAAGGCCAGCAGCAGGCCGCTGAGGAAACCGAAGATGTGGGCGATGTTGTCGATCCAGGGCAGCAGGCCGCACACGAACAGGAAGAGCACGATGGCCGACAGGTTGAGGAAGGCCTTCCACGGCCGCTCCAGCAGCTGCCAGCTTTGGAAGAGCTCCACGAAGAGGCAGGCCAGGAGGCCGAACTGCGAGCCGGCCGGGCCCACCTGCGGGAGCGAGGGAGGGTCACTCCAGGGCACGGCCCCCCAGCTTCTCAGCCCGCGTGTCCCCCGTGAGGAAAGCCTGCCCTCTGCGGTGACAACCAGGGAGCTCGCTGGCCCAGTGTACTACGTGTGGTGCTAACCTAACGGCCAGTAGTTCAAATCCACCAGCTGTCCTTAGAAAGACAGGACACTTTATAGATATTAAGCTTGTTGTTGTTGTTGTTATGTGTCGTCAAGTCGTCTGCGACTCATAGCGACCCTATGTACAACAGCTCTAAACCCTGCTCTATCCTGTGCCAATCGCATTGCCTCCGACACACCCATCCTGATTACCCCAGTCACTGAATCAATTAAGCTTAGTATTCACAAAGTCTGTGATTTAGCACGGGAAGGAGGGCCGCAGTGGGTCAGAACGGACTGGCAGTGGGCTTCCTTGGGTTTTATAATGTTAATGAGGCAGTTATGTAACGATGTGATCCCGCAGGTCAGCTGGGAGGGGATTAGGGTGGGCTGCCACACCCTTCACTAGGCCACAGCACTGATCTGGCCACAGGAGATTTCCCTGGGGTGTAGCTTGTATCATCTTTCATGAGAGAGAAAAAGAGGAAGTGAGCAGAGAGGGGGACCCTAAAAACAAGAGGAAGAGGGGAAGAACTTGTCTTCGACCCGGGTTGCTGGCGGGGAAGCTCCAATACAAGGAGTCTCCAGGGAGCACGGGGCCTACAGATGCTGGAGGAAAAGAAAGGCTTTCTCCCAGAACTGACCCACAGAAAGCCTTCTCCTGAGCCGGCACCCTGAGCTCAGCCTTCCAAATGGAGACAAAATGAATTTCCATTTGGTAAAGTCATCTGCTGTCATATCTGTTACAGCAGCAGGGAATTTCTAAGACGTGGCTATCTTGTCCGGGAGCCCCTTGGGTGTTCACGCCAGATCTGAAGGACTCAGGGGGCTGGGGCAGCTGCTGGGCTGTCGCTGGGCCTGCTACATTCACCTGTCTAGCAAGCACTCACTTAATGCCATCACGTCAGAACCAAAACGTAGTATCACGGAGACTGTCCGTCTTTCCCCTGTGGAGCTGCCGGTGGATTTGAACCACCGGACTTGCGGCCTTTAGAGCAGCAGCACAACTCCTATGGACACGACCAAGTGCAATGAGCAAGACAGATCAGCCAGCTCTGGACGACGGGCACCCAAGAGACAGCACAGTGTCAGGCCGAGCCGGTTCAGGGCAACGGAGTTGTGGAACTAGGCAGGGACCGCACAACATTTTGCAGGTAACTTCCTTCACTGAGTTATTCACTTAAAACGGCTAAAACGACCCGTTTCACATTATATAGAAACACAACAAATACAAGAAAATTGTTTTTTCTGTAGGTCAAGAACAGCAGGCCTTTGGCAATCTCATATTGTTCAGCCTATAACTACGTAAGAGTCTAGGTGGTGCAGTGGTTAGGCTCTGGAATGCTAAGCAAACTGTGAGCAGTCAGCCCCTCCAGTTGCTGCGTGGCGGCCTCTGGTCCATAGAAAGTTCTAGCCCTGGAGACCCCGCGGGGCGGCTCTCCTGTCTACAGGGCTGCTGTGAGGAGGAGGGCACTGGGGTCAGCTCTGCTCTTTCAGAGCTAACAAGAGGGGGAGGGGGCAGGCGCTCCACTAATAACTGGGAGGTTTGTGCTGTGGCCTCCCAGCTGCTCTCGGGAGGAGGGATGAGACCATCTGTCTCCGTAGGGATCAGAGTCCCAGCCAACATTTCTACTGGGTCCTCCAGGGTCGCTATCAGTGGAATCCATGATGGTAGTGGGCATGGTTTGTTTATGGCTACAGAAGGTGCTGCCTGGTAGTGGTCACAGATGTGGACAGAACGAAGCACAGCTGAGGTGTGAGGGGCAGTGGCCAGGGAAGGGCATTCTAAGGGGGGACGACTGAGAGAGAGGAAGATGGGGGGGGGGGGGGTGGAGAAAGAAGTGTGTGTGTGGCGAGCTCTGGTGGCCTAGTGGCAAGAAGCTGCACTGCAATCCCAGAGGTACGTGGTTCAAATCCACCAGATGCTCTGCTGAAGAAGGCGGGCCAATCGCCTCCTGTACCAGTCAGATCCAATTTGACCGTACACACATAAAAAAAAGTGTGTGTGTAAATGTGTGTGT